CGCCGCGGGCCGGTCGCGCTCCGCGGCGAGCGCCTCGCGCCGCGCGAGGGCCTCGGAGAGGTCGTCGTGGGCCGCCTGGATCGCGGCGAAGAGGTCGTTCGTCTTGCCGCCGGTCTTGTCCGGGTGGTGCTGCAGCGCGAGCTGGCGGTGCGCGCGGCGCACGTCCGCGGCGGTCGCGCGCGCGCCGAGGCCGAGGCACGCGCGCGCGTCCGCGCGGAGCGCGCGCATGGCCGCGTCGAGCGTGCGACCGCCGTCGCGGAGGCTCGAGGTCTGCGTGCCCCAGGCCGACGCCGCCGTCGCCGGCGCGTCGTCGACGCGCGCCTTGACGAGCAGCGCCGCGCAGTCGCAGTACTTCTTCTGGCGCAGGAGGCTCCGCGCCTGCTCGAGCTGCGCGATCGTGACGAGGCAGGGAGCAGCGTCGGCCATGTTGTGTTCGGACGCGCCGGAACTAGCCGTCGAACGAGCCGGCTGGAAGCCTTGTTCCACGTCGAGGCGTGTTCGGACGCGCCGGAACTAGCCGTCGAATGAGCCGGCTGGAAGCCTTGTTCCACGTCGAGGCATATTGCCTCGCCTCACCACTGCACTGCAAGCAATGGATATCATGTACAACGTCAACCTTGCCTGATGCATGAAACGCAAGGCTGCCCGTGTACGCGTCCCGTCGTCTTCGGCCTTGTCCCGCTCCGGCCGGAGCGGGGGCGCGGTTTCCGGGTTCGCGGCGGTCTCGTCCCGGCCTCGGCCGGGGCGGGGCGACCGTCTCGTTGCATCGTTCCTCGCAGGGCTGGCCGGTGTCGTCTAGGAGCCTCGTGCCTTCTAGGGCCTCGTCCCGGGGCGGGGCGCCGGCGCGGTTCGCGGCGGCGCGCGGCTCGTCGCCATGGTGTTCCTGTCGCCGCTGGCCGATTGGCTGGAGCACGAATGGGAGAAGAAGACGAAGAACCGGGGCCCGCGCGCGCTCGGGAGCCTCGTCGAGGCGCTCGACGAGCTCGTGCACCACTACGAGGCGAAGCTCGACCGGGACCAGAAGAAGCAGGTGTCGACGTGCGTGCGGCAGCTCCGGCGGCGCGTGTCCCACGTGCGGAACAGCCTCAACTCCCTCGGCTCCGGGAGCGACAGCAGCGGCTCCGACGAGAGCGACAGCGGCTCCGACGGCGACGGCGCGCCGCTGGGCGAGCGGAAGAAGCGCAAGAAGAAGAAGGCCAAGGACTTCTCGAACACGCAGCAGGCCATGATGAAGACGGCGATCCGCGACGCGCTCGGCGACGACTACGGCGGCCGCCCGAGCGGCGTGGGCTCCGCGTCCGCCGTCGTCGCGTCGCTCGACGAGGGCCTCGGCCGCGAGGACGGGAAGAAGAAGGACGGGGGCCGCGACTCGCCGGGCCCCGACGAGAAGAAGGCCGGCGAGTCGACGAAGCCGAGCCCGAGCAAGGGCAAGGCGTCGCTCAAGGGCGCGATCAAGAAGATCAGCCTCGGCCTGAAACTGAAGCGCGCGATGAAGACCGGCGAGGGGGAGGCGTCCACGAGCCCCATCCCCGTGCAGCGCGTCATCGACGACTACGCCGCGCGCGTCGCCGGCGACGCCAAGGCCGCGGGCAAGGCCGCGGGCGACGGGGCCGTGCGGCGGCCGTCCTTCGCCAATATCGACGAGGGCACGGAGGAGAAGTCGCCCGAGGACGCGCACCGCGCGGTCGCCGCGGCCGCCGTCGCCGCGACGGGCGGCGCCCGGCCCGCGCCCGCCGCGCGCGCGCCGCGCCGGTCCTTCGGCGCGGGCGCGCGCGCGCTCGCCGCGGCCGCCGCGGGCGCGGTGTCCGCGACGGTGTCCGCCAAGCCCGCGGCGCCCGCGTCGACGCCCGTGACGGCCTTCGACGCCGAGGCCGAGGCGAAGCGGCCGCCGGAGGGGACGCGCGCGCCCCTGGAGCACGCGCGGTCCGCGACGTCCGCGGCGCTCGCGCACGCGGCGGCCGCGGAGGAGAAGAAGACCGACAAGCCTGCGGACCTCGGCGCGCTCTCGCCCGCGTCGCGGCGCAACTCGTTCCGGCGGTCGCGGGACGGCATCGCCGACGCGGCCGCGCCGCGGCGGTCCGGCGAGCGGAGCCGCGACGACCCCCTGGGTCTGGGGCCGTCGCCCAAGGACGGCCCGAAACCGTCGCCGTCGCCGCGAAACAGCGGCGAGGCCGCGCGGCCGAGCCTGCTCCAGTCCCAGCGGCGGTCCTTCGGCGAGACGCTGGGCCAGCGCGGCGCCGCCGCGCGCGCCGAGGAGCCGAAGCGGCGGTCCTTGGGCGACGTGCCGACGCACGTCGCCGTCGCCGCCGCGCGGAACGGCGCGCTCCGCGTGGCGACGGGCCGCGACGACACGGACGTGACGACCATGGGCATGGACAAGTACCCCAAGGCCAAGGCCGACGTCCGCGCCGTCGAGGGCGGCGTCGTCGCGTCGCTCGAGGTTCTGGAGTCGGAGAAGAAGACGCACCGGCGGTCGTCGAAGGAGATGCTCGAGGACCTCATGAAGAAGCGGCGGAGCCGCGAGGAGAAGCCCGGCGAGGAGGAGGAGAAGGACGACACGATCGGCGCGCTGCCCGGGCCCGGCGCGCGGTCGCGCGCGGGCTCCGCGTGCAAGGTCATCCCCGAGGCGCACGCGGCCAAGGCCAAGGCCGACGACTTCCGGGACCCCGTCGCCGGGTCGTCGCGGGGCCGGGGCAGCCGCAAGTTCAACATCCCCCAGATCTTCGGCGGCGCCAAGGGCCACGAGATTTTGGGGTCGCCGCGGCGCATGTCCGCGTCGCTTCTCAGCTCCGACGACGTCGCCAAGCTCATGGCCCAGACGTCGGGCTGGTCGCTGCCCGTCTTCCGGCGCCTGAGCGCCGGGCGCCTGGCCTGGGACGGCGTCGTCGCCGTCGTCTGCATCATGACGTTCGTCGTGGTCACGCTCCGCGTCGGCTTCGGGTGCCCCGCGAACCGGACTTCGGAGCGGATCCTCGAGCTGCTCGGCGACGCCATCATGCTGCTGGACTGGGCCGTGACGGCGCGCACGACCTTCGTCGACAGCAACACGCTCGAGGAGGTAAACGAGGGCGGGCCCATCTGGGACCACTACACGCGGACGCCCCACGCGGCCGTCGACGCGATCTCCGCGCTGCCGACGCTGCGCTGGCTCGGCGCCTGGGGCCTCGTCCCGGCGACGGGGGGGCTCGCGGGCCGGCCCGGCGTCTGCGACGTCGTCCACCTGATCAAGGTGCTGCGCATGACGCGCATCTGGCGCCTGAACCTCATCAAGTCCGCGGTGAGCGGCTCCGTCGTGAACCCGTCCGCGCTGCGCTTCGGCGGGCTCATGTTCTCCAGCATGGGCACGTTGCACGTCATCGCCTGCGTCTACTGGTACGTCTGCCGCCGCGTCTGGCCCACGCGGCGCTGGGACAACTCCGAGTGGCTGCCCTACCTCCACGGCGACCGCACGGGCGCGGCCTGGGAGCACGGCAAGGTGCCGTCGCTCGAGGTCATCGCGTCGGCCTACTCCTGGGCGTCCTACTGGGCCATCTCCAACGCTTTAGCCGACGGCCCGACGCCCCACAACACGCTCCAGTCCGCCTTCACGGCCGTCGTCTTCATCATCGGCCTCATCTTCCAGTCGTTCTTCGTCGCGTCCGCGTCGAGCCTGCTCGCGAACATGGACGCGACGCGGTCCGAGCGCGTGCGCCACCTCGAGCAGATCCAGACCTTCCTCCGGAGCCGCAACATCCCGAGCCGCACGCTGAACAAGGTCGTGTCCTACTACCAGTACCTCTGGCTCTGCGGCGACGGCAGCGGCGTCGAGAAGCTCATGCGCGACATCCCGCGGACGCTCAAGGCCGAGATCGACCTCTACCTGAAGCGGCGCCTCATCGAGTCCGTGCCCTTCTTCCGCACGTGCTCCGTCGCGGAGATCCTCACGGTCGTCCAGTCGCTCCGGCCGCGGATCATGATGCCCAAGGACTACATCATCCGCCAGGGCGACCAGGGCGACGAGATGTACTTCATCGTCCGCGGCAACGCCAACGTCGTCGTCGCCAAGGCCGGCATGCCCGACGTCGTCGTCGTCACGCTCCGCCAGGGCCAGTTCTTCGGCGAGTCCGCGCTCATGGAGGGCGACATCGCCGTGCGCAACGCGTCCGTGCGCTCCGAGGGCTTCAGCGAGCTCATGTCCCTGAGCCGCGCGGACTTCCGCGAGATGACGATCCAGTTCCCCCACTTCAAGGAGTTCGTGCAGAAGCTCGCGCGCGAGCGCGCGCGCGCGAAGAAGGAGAAGGAGGACAAGGAGCGCGAGAAGAGCGGCTCCGGCCGCCGCGGGTCCATGGTGCGCCGCGAGAGCTCGCGCATGGGCACGCTGCGCCGGTCCATCTCGTCCATCCGCACGAACACGGTCGTCGACCGGTCGCCGTCCGTCTCCGGCCGCGGCGGCGGCGACTCGTCGACGGACGGCGAGGGCGCGGCGTCGCCGTCCGAGTCCGGCCGCCGGGGCCTGGGCCGCTTCGGCCAGGGCCTGCGCCAGGCGTCCTTCTCCGCGCGCGGCTCCATCAGCGGCCTCGTGGGCAAGCGCGGGTCGCTCACGCCCGCGGACGCGCCCATCGTCGAGGGCGAGGAGAAGGGCGGCGACGAGCCCGCCGCGCCGCCGTCGCCGAATTCGCCGCGGTCGCCGGCGCCGACGTCGACGACGGAGACGCTCATCGACCGCATGCACGCGCGCGGCCACCTGAGCCGCGGCCTGAGCCGCAACGCGTCCATGGGCGACCGCCAGTCGTCGACGGCGAGCCGCGCGTCCGCGGGCTCCGGCGGCAAGGGCGACGGCGAGACCGCGTCCCTCAAGCTCGAGGAGGCCGACGGCGACGGGGACGGCGCCGGCGGCGCCGCGGACCGCGACCCGACGATCGGCGTGAACTACGTCGACGCGCCGACGCCCGGGCCGAGCCGCGCGCCGCCGAAGCGCGGCAACATGCGCGCCAACTCCATCAACCTCATCTCGTCGGGCATGGACCGCCTCGGCCTCGCGTCGAAGTCGCGCGTCGCCGGCGCCTCCGGCGCGGCGCGCTCCCGGCCCGGGGGCCTCCTGTCGCGGAGCCCGTCCGTGGAGAACCGCGCGTCCGGCTCCGTCTTCGACGAGGTCGCGCGGAGCCTCGAGCGCGCGCCCGTCGAGGCCATCACGGGCGGCTCGCCCCTGTTGGGGGACCGCGCGTCCGCGGACCGGAGCTCCGCGGAGCGCACGCGCCACTCCATCACCGAGGTCAACGAGGACGACGGCGAGGCGGCCGCGCCGACGCCCGCGCCCGCGCCGGCGTCCGCGCGCGCGTCCCACTCGGACTCCGTGGACCTCGAGGAGGCCGAGAAGATCTTCTCCCTCGACGCGTGACCCGCGACCCCCCGGCGGCGTAGAGATCTGGCCTTAGTCGCGCCGGCCGTCACGACGACGTCCAGAGGTGCTTGCGCGCGAGGAGCTGCGCCTCCGCGGGGTGCGCGTCGAGGGGCGTGCAGAGGTAGTGCCACTTCATGAGGAGCTCCTTGACGCGGCCCATGGCGCTGAGCGGGTCCTCGTCCTTGATGTGGGCGAGGAGCAGGTGGAGCCAGTCGTCGGCCATCTTCTCGTGGGTGTCGGGCTTGCCCTCGGCCATCTGCGCGTAGGCGCCCTCGGGCACGGGGCACGTCGTGAAGAAGCACGGCACCGCGTAGCGCGTGCCGCTCGTGATCCGCTCGACCTCGTGCATGTTCTCCCAGCCCGACGAGAAGATGACGGCGGCGCCCCTCGTCGGGCCGAAGGGCGTGAGGCTGCGCTCCGCGCGCCGCGCCTTCGCGAGCGCCTCGGGCGTCATGCCTAAACCCTCCTCGTCGCCCAGGCCCTCCGCGGCCGCGAGCTTCGCGGCGAGGTCCGCGTCGAGGAAGTCGTCGGGCACGTCGTCGTCGTCCTCGAACTCGTCGCCGAGCAGCCAGACCTCGTCGTCGACGAAGTCCTCGTCGTCGCCGCCGCCCGCGGCGGCGGCGGGCGCGTCGTCGTCGTCGCCGCCGCGCGCCTCGCGCGCGGCGATCTCCTCGTCGGACGCGAGGTCGTTGAAGATGAAGTTGCCGCCCTCGAAGTCCTCGCCCTGCGTGTTGAGGTAGACGACGCAGGAGTAGTGGTAGTTCGTGTGCGTCTCCTCGTCGCAGTGCAGCGTCACGCTGTCGCCCTCGGAGCCGCCGCCGCCCGTCTGCGTCGCGCCCGCGACGTACTTGCGGCTGTAGGCCTGGACGGGGAGCACCGTGAAGAGCGGCAGGCCGTACTCGTGGGCGATGGTACGGCGCACGCGCTCGATGAGGCGCACGAAGTGGAGGATCGTCGCGCTCGGCGCGTCGCCGAGCGCGTTGAACGTGAACTTGTCGAGCCCGGGGAACGTCGCGACGTCGCACTCCTCCGCGTTCGCGAACGTCGGGAAGACGCTGCGCGAGCAGTCGGCGCAGCACTCGCCGCCCTTGCACTTGCGGCCCTCCTCGAGCGGCAGGTCGCCCATCGCCGTGTCGTCGAGCATGTACGCGATGTTGTCCGCGAACGCGGACGCGCCCGTCCGCTCGGGCTTGAGGCACGTCATGTTCGTCCGCGTCTGCGACCGCTCGAGGAGGTGGCGCATGTCCGCGTCGAAGACGTGGTGCAGCATCCGCGGCACGTCCCCGGGCAGCGGCTCGTCCGCGGCCTCGGCCGCGTCGACGGCGTCGACGACGGCCCAGAAGGCCGCGTCGGCCGTCTCGACGTCGAGGTGCTGGCCCTCCTCGACGAGGTAGGACACCGTCGCCGCGTCGAGCGCCGCCGCGGCCTCGCGGAGCTCGCGCGGCGACGGCGGCTGGGGCGTCGAGACCGGCGCGACCTCGACGGGCGGCGACGACCGCGGCTTCGACGGCGCCGCGGGCGCCGCGGCGGCCTCGGGCGCGGCCGGCGGCGGCGGCGCGGCCGCGGCCGGCGGCGGCGGAGGAGGGATCGACGACTGCCGCGGCCGCGAGTCCGCGGCGGGCGCGGCGGGCGGCGGCGGCGGCGGCGGAGGCGGCGCGGAGGCCGTGGGCAGCGGCGGCGGCGGCGGCGGCGGCGCGGCGGCCGTGGGCAGCGGCGGCGGCGGCGGCGGTGGCGCAGCGGCCGCGGGCGGCGGCGGGGGGGGGCGCGAAGCGACGGTCGGCGGCGCCGGCGGCGCCGGCGGCGGCGCGGGCGGCGGCGGGGGCGGCGCGACGGTCGGCGGCGGCGGCGGGGGCGGCGCGACGGCCGCGGAAGGCACGCCGCCGAAAGCAGTGATGATCTCGTCGACGTTCTTCGTGAAGCTGTCGAGCTGGCGTCCCTGGCTGAGCGGTCTTCCGCTCGGCCCGATGCGCTCGCCGAGCGTCGAGAGCACGGCGCGCATGACCTTCGCATCGGGCACGTATCGCTCGCCGGGGGCGGCAACGGGCGCCGCGGGCGGTGCGGGCGGCACGGCTGCCGCGGGAGCGCCGCTCTTGGCGGCCTGCGCCGCGGCCCGCGCCGCGGCGTAACTGCCCGGCGCGGGCGCAGCTTCCGGGTCCGCGAGCACGCTGTGCTTGACGAGAGGGCTCACGGGTACCCGCGGGGCGACGAAGGCGGTCGCAGAGGTCAAGACGAGGGCGGCGAGGAGCTTGTTGAGGCGAGACAATGCCATGGCGAACATCGACGACTCGCACTCAACTTGCAACCTAGCATCAACGACCGCCTTCAACGACGCGAATCAATCGTCTCGAGGCTCACATGTGCACCGGAAAACAGGCTTCGCAGACGCCAGGCTTCGAGGGGCATCCGCCCGAAGACGGAGTCTGAGTGAAATCAGGCGTGCGCCGCGGCGCAGCGTGCGCGCCGGCGGCGGCCGCCACGGACGACTCAGTCGCCACCGATCTCGCCGCCGTCGACACGCGCTGCACGTCCCTGGCTCGTGGACACGCACAGCTCAAGCCTCGATCGGAGCATGCGTATTTAGCGGGTTCAACATTGCCTTCACTGAGCCGCCGAGCAGTCGATTGAGTCGCACTTGAGGGATCTCGTCGCGCGGAGTCGCACCTCCGCATCGTCGCACCTGCGCAACGATGTTCAAGGCTGCGATCATCGCGGCGCTCGCGCTGGGCGCGCAGGGCTTCGCCCCCAAGTCGTTCCCGCGCACGGGCACGCGCGTCTTTCAGTCGTACGAGGAATACATGGCGTCGCGCGGCATGGCGGCGGCCCCTGCGGCGCCCGCGGCAGCCGCTCCCCCTGCGGCGCCCGCGGCAGCCGCTCCCCCGCCGGCGCCCGCGGCTCCGCCCGCGGCGGCGCCCGCGGCGCCTCCCGCGGCGGCGGCGCCGGCGGCCGCGTCCGCCGCGGCGTCCGGCGGCGGCGGCGCGGCGAACCTCGGCGACTTCCTCGTCCAGCGCGGCGTCCAGCAGCAGCTCTACTACAGCGCGGACCTGCGCAACGAGCCCAACGTGAAATTCCTCAAGTCCTTCATGGGCCACGAGCACCTCGACAGCCGCCAGCGCGGCGAGGGCCAGGCGGGCTTCCCCGGGACCTACCCCGCGCAGTTCGGCGGCCTCAACACGGGCTACGTCGACTACCTCGTCGGCCTGGCCACCGCGCCGGAGAGCACGATCGAGATCCGCGTCGCCAAGCCCGCCAAGTTCCTGAGCGCGCGCGAGCGCGCGAACCCGTTCCTCGCGGCGCAGGGCCCCCAGGTCGAGATCTACGACCAGGTCATGTACCCCAAGAGCTTCCTCACGCAGCTCCTCGTGACGACGAACGCCCTCGTGGAGACGTGGGCGTTCCACCTCGACTACGCGTCGGAGCTCGACCTCGACCGCGTCGCCGACGACCGCGCGACGACCAAGCAGCTCGGCACGCCCGAGATGTCGCGCGACGCCGAGCTCGCGGAGGGCGGCGAGACCGCGTACTCGACGTTCACGCAGGACGAGGAGATGCCGCTCTACGGCTTCGACCGCCGCGCGCTCGACCGCCTCACGCTCTCGCGCGCGCTGACCGCGCTCGTCGCCGAGGTCGCGGCGCTCACGCCGGCGAACGCCTTCGACGCGGCCTACCTGCGCCGCGAGGCCGAGGTCGACGGCGACGGCGACGACATCGACGACCTCGACGAGGTCGCGCGCGCGCGCGTCATGGAGCGGCGCCGCGTGCGCCGCGAGCGCCGCGAGGCGGGCTTCGTCGACGGCGACGACGCCGCGCGCGCGGCCGCGGCCAAGGCGGCGTGCCTCGCGTTCCTCAAGGACTTTGGGGACCTGTGGCTGCCCAAGCTCGCGCGCGGCGACCCGCGCAGCGACCTCCAGAAGAAGGCGACGCGGCCGCCGCCGGGCCAGCGCGAGGTCCGGCCCGAGGCCGCGGGCGCGGACGCGGCCGTCGCGCTCGAGGCGCTCTGGGCCTACCGCGGCGAGCCCGCCTACGGCATCCGCGGCGGCGAGCTCGTGCTCCCCTTCGCGCTCGGCGTGCGCCTCCGCGAGCTCCGCGCGGCCGAGATGGTCGCGGCCAAGGCCGAGATCGAGGACGTCATCAACCCGAAGCTCCTCGAGATCCGCCTCGAGTACACGGACTTCACGTTGGAGGACCTCGTCTCCCAGGGCGACTGGGCCGGCGACGAGGAGGCGGCCTACGTCTGGAGCGCGGACCGCTCCCTCGGCGGCGACTGAGCGCGCGCGGCCCCGCGCCCGGAGGAGAAGCCCCCCGGGTCGTAACGCCTCGTTCGAGTCGGCGCTCTCGAGAAGGCCGCGCGGCCCGACCCGGCTCGGAGCGCGCGCGCGGCCCGCGCGTCGTGGTCGGCGACGCCTTAGACCCCAGGGGGCGCCCCTAGGGCGTCTTGACGGAGATGCCGTCGGAGCCGGCGATGATGCAGGCCGTCGTCATGCCGATGAAGATGCCGTGGTCGACGACGCCGCACGTGGCCTTGAGCTGCGCGGCGGCGGCGGGCGCGTCCGCGAGCGGGTCCGCGAACTCGAGGTCGACGATGTAGTTGCCGTTGTCCGTGACGGCGGGCTCGTCGCCGTCCTTGGCGTTGTTCGTCGACGAGCCGAGGCGGAGCACGGGCGTGCACTTGCCCTTGAGCGCGGGGAGGTCGGCGATGACGCGGATCGTGTGCTCGTGGCAGAACGGCGTGATCTCCACGGGGATGGGGAAGCCCGGGCCGAGGGCGTCGCAGAGCTTGCTCTCGTCGACGATGACGATGAACTTGTCCGCGACGATCTCGACCATCTTCTCGCGGAGGAGCGCGCCGCCGCCGCCCTTGACGAGGTTCAGGTCGGGGTCGACCTCGTCCGCGCCGTCGATGGCGACGTCGAGGCGGCTGAACTCGTCGAGCGTCGTCAGCGGGATGCCGAGCTCCTCGGCCTGCTCCTTCGTGCGCACGGACGTCGGCACGGCGATGATGTCCGTGAGCTCGCCGCTCTTGAGCAGCGCGCCGAGACGCTCGACGGCGAACGCGGCCGTCGAGCCCGTGCCGAGGCCCACCTTCATGCCGCTCGTGACCTAGGGATGCGCGGGTCCTGCCATGGGTCGTCGCGGCGCGCGCGGTGCCGAGCCGCGCGGCGCGCCCCCCGGGACGCGGCTCCTGACGTAGTCATCGATGGCCTGGTAGCCGACCTGCTTCTTGAGCTCGTCCTGCGACATGGCCGTCGCCGACATCTTCGTGAGACCGCGAGAGCAGCCACCGCGGGTGCCGAAAGCGCGGGCGGTCGCGAGGCACCACAGGGCGAGGACGATGCGCGTCATAAGATCGAGGAGCTCGTGTGACACCAGCGCGGCGCACCACTGCAGCATCGGCCTGGGCAGCGAGTGGCAAGAGCGCATGGCGGCCATGCTACGGCTCCTAAAAACCCCCGCCACCGTCGTCGGCACGCTGGCGACCTGCGCGTCGACCGAGGGCGCGCCGGACTCCGCGTCGTCCCTCGCCCCGCCGCCGAAGCCGCCGACGGCGCCGGAGCTGCGGTCGCGCATCCTCGCCGCCGCCGCGGCCATGCGCGAGCGCACGGACTGGGAGGCGCGGCGCCTCAACCAGCTCTTCCGGGAGGTCGACGAGGAGACCGCGGCGACGCGGGCGGCGGCCGTGGAGGCGGAGACGGCCGCGCTGAAGCGCGCGCTCGCGGACGAGCGGCTCGCGGTCGCCGGCGCGCGCGACGCCGCGTTCGCCGACGCCGTCGCCGCGGCCCGGGCCGAGGCGCGCGCGGGGCTCGAGATGGCCTTCGGGGCCCAGGAGGCGGCGCTCCGCGAGGCGTCGGCGGCGGCCGTCGCCGAGGCCGCGGCGGCCGCGCAGGGAGCCGCGGACGCGCGCGCGGCCGAGGACGCGGCCGTCCGCGCGGCCGCGCGCGCGGGCGGCCCCGAGCGCGCGGCCCTCGCCGCGGCCCTCGAGGCGGCGCTGGCGGGGTCCGTGTCGCAGATCGCCGTCAAGATGGACCAGGACGCCGCGCAGCAGCGCGCGCACCGCGCCGCGCTCGCCGGCCTCGCGGTCGCGGGCCGCCTCGCCGCGTCCGCGGCCGCGATCGACGGCGCCGCGGCGTCGGCGGCCTTCGCCGGCGTCGACGGCGGCGCCGTCGTCGCCGCGGCGCTCGGCGGCGCGCCGCCCGGCGGCGCGCCGTCGCTCGACGAGCTCCGCGCGCGCTTCGCGTCCGCCGTCGAGGTGCCCACGCGGACGTGGCTCCTCGTGCCCGACGGCCAGGACGGCGTCCTCGGCCACGCCCTGGCGTCCCTCATGGCCCGGGCGGGCCTCTACACGTCCGAGGCCGCCGACGCGGGCCTCGCGGCGCTCAACGCCGCGGCGGACGCGCTCGCCGGCGGCGACCTCGCGGCCGCGGTCGCGGCGCTCGAGGCCGCCCGGGCGTCGCGGCCCGCGGCGGCGCCGGCGCCGCCCGACGACTGGCTCGCCGCCGCGAGGGGCCGCCTCGCCGCGGACCAGGCCGCGGCCGTCGTCCGCGCGAAGGTCGCGCTCGTCCAGGTGTCGCCCGCCAAGGTCAACTGAGTGCCCCTGCCGCCCCCCGCGCCCTCTTAAGAGTGACAACGCCACCACCGGCGCAGGAGCAGGGGCGCGGCGACCGCGGCCGCGACCGCGGCCGCGGCGTGCGGCGCGGCGCCGGGGATCACGCGCGGGCGCGGGCCGGCCGCGGGCACCTCGCAGAGGAGCGCCCGCATCGACGCGACGACGGCGCCGGCGCGCAGGCGCGTCGGCGCGAGCGCGAGGCCCGAGCCGACGCCGAACGCGCGCGCGTCGTCGCCCTCGAGCCAGGCCGTGACGTTGGCGACGGGCCGGGCCGACACGAGCGCGGACACGGTGCCGTCGCAGGGCTCGCCGGCGTCGCAGGGCGGCGCCGCGAGCGCGACCTCGCGCCACTCGTCGAAGTAGGACGCCGGGTCCGCGGCGGCCTGGGCAGGAAAAGGTTGCGAAATTCCCAACTTCAAAGGCTCATATCTCGGTCGTTTTCCGCTCGTTTCGGCTGATTTTTGGACGAGCGATCATCTCTCGGAGCGCTCTCGAAGCGTGGGTGCTGTTTCCGAAACGCGCGCGCGCAGAACACTCACGTTGAAGCGACGTTGAATCACCCTTTTCCTGCCCTGGCGGCGGCGAAGAGCGCGACGACGTCCCAGGGCACGAAGGCGGCGGCGCCGTTCAAAAGGGCCGCGTGCGCCGTGTCCGGGAAGCGCCGCGCGAGGCGCCCGTTGACGAGGAGCGGCATCGCGTAGGCCTGGAGCCGCATCTTCGGCGCGAGCGCGCGGGCCGCGGCACCGGGGCACGCGGCGACCGCGGCGACGTCCGCGGCGGCGAACGCGGCCTGCGCGCACGCGTCGAGCGGCACGACGGTCGTCGGCACGCCCGCGGCGAGCAGCGCGCGCGCGGCGGCGCGGTCCGACATCCAGTTGAGGTCCAGCGGCCCGCCGTCGAGCGCGCCGCCCATGGCGACGACGCGGCGCAGGCGCCGCGCGACCGCCGGGTCGAGCGCGAGGAGCGCGGCGACGTTCGTCAGCGGGCCCAGCGCGAGGATCGTCACCGTCCGCGGCGCCGCCGCCCGGACGGCCCGGCGCATGGCCCGGGCCGCGGCCCCGGCGGCCCCGGCGACGTCGCCGCGGAGGAAGTGGAGCCGCCTCATCGACGGCCACGCGACGCGCATGTCGTCCCAGCTCGCGCCGGCGACGATCGGCGCGTCGTCGCCCGCGTGCCGCAGCAAGACCTCGGCGTCGGCGACCGTGTCGCGGAGCGCGGCGTTGCCGGCGACGACCGACACGCCGACGAGGCGCAGGTCGCCGCGGCGCTCCAAGGCCCGCGCGCAGAGGTAGGCCAAATCGTCGTCGACGTCGAGGCCCGTCGCCACGAAGCCGGCGGGGTCGAAGTCCAGCCAGACGTCGAGCATGCTTACAGGCGCAGTTGCTGGACCTCCATCTAAAAAAAAACTCCACACAGGACTGCAGCGTTTGGCGATTGAACTGCATCTTGCAACTGCGGCGAGGCGGTACGCCGAGCTGTTCGGCACTCGCTGCTGTTTGCCCAGGGCGTCGGCACCGTCGCCGGCGTCGGGAGACGCGCAGAGGTCGAGCGCCCGCGACATGGCGGTCTCCGGGCCGACCTTCGAGCTCGGCTCCAGCGAGGGCGCGCAGGGCTCGTGCCGCTACGTCGACGGCGCCACGGTCGTGCTCGCGACGGCCTCCGGTCCCCAGCACAACCCGGAGCGGGCCTCGTCGCAGGACGCGGCGCGCGGCGGCCTCGAGGTGCGCGTCCAGCTCGCGGACCGCGGCGGCGCGGACCGCGTGCTCGCGGAGCGGACGCTCGAGGAGGCGGCGCGCGGGTTGCTCGCGCCCGCGCTGGACTGCGCGGCCTTCCCGCGCCAGGTCGCCTCGGTCTACTGCCTCGTGCTCCACGACGGCGGCGCCGCGCGGCGCTGCGTCGTCAACGCGTGCGCGCTCGCGGCCCTCGACGCGCGCCTGCCGCTCCTCGCCGTGCCCCTGGGCGTCGACGTCGTCGTCGCGGCGGCCGCGGCCGACGGCGGCGACGCGCCGCGGCCGACGACCTGCAACGTGACCATGGACGCGACGACGGACGAGCCCGCGGTCCTCGCCATGGACACGGCCGGCGAGCCCTTCGACGCCGCGGACGTCGCCGCCGTCGTCGCCGCCGCGCGCACCGAGGTCACGGCCCTCGCGGCCGCGGCCCTCGCCCAGCAGGCGGCCGCGTCGTAAGACGCCTCGTAATTAACCTCGTAAGCAGGTCCTAGGCTGATGGTGCCGCGAGGTTGCTGTGGAAAGGAAATGAGCATGATGCGCTGCTTCGCGCGCGCAGCGCAGGCGCAGCGCCACTCGTTGCTGCGCTGCCTCGCCACAGCCGCCGACGAGCCGACGCGGCCGCGCCTGCTGCTGCGGCGCGGCGCGGAGCGAGGCCCGAGCGCGGCCGTCAAGGCCCTCGGCGGCGCCGGCGGCCTCGCGGCGCTGGCCGGCGTCGGCGTGCTCGGCCACGCGCACTACGCCGACGTCGCCGCGGCGCTCTGCGCGCTCGCCGCCAATCCCGACGTCGTCGGCGGCGCGCTCCTGGGCGCGGGCGCGCTCGCGGGCTGCGGCGCGGCGGCCGCGGCGTCCAAGGCCCCCCGGCCGCCGGCGCTCGCGTCCGCGCGGACGGGCAAGAAGCCGAGGCCGTCGCCGCTCGCGGCGCTCGGCGGCCGCGGCGCCGACGACGACGACGGCTCCGCGGGCTTCGAGTTCCACCTCCTGAACGACGACGCCAAGCTCCGCAAGGCCCGGTCCGCGCTCGACGACTTGCTGGAGACGGGCTACGACGCGCTGCCCGCCGACGCGCGGGAGACGCTGACCGCGGCGCACGCGCGGGCGGCGAAGGCGCGCGAGGCCGCGGACGCCGAGGCCGTGGCGGAACGGGCGACGTTCGTCCGCGACGCGCTCGGCGGCGACGGCGGCGACGCCGCGGACGTCGCCGCGGCGCTGCGGCCGCGCTGCTTCGTCTACGATTTCGACACGACGGAGAAGCAGCTGGGGTCCCGCGGCGCCGTCGCGCGGCTCGAGGCCGTCGTCGACCTGCTCTCGGCCGTCGCGACGCGCCACGACGAGCTCGTGCTCCGCGTGACGTCTCCCGGGGGCAGCGTGTCGGACTTCGGCCTCGCGGCGAGCCTGGTGTTGCGGCTGCGCAGGACGACGGGGGTCGGCGTCACGGCGGCCGTCGACGTCGTCGCCGCGTCGGGGGGCTACATGCTCGCGGTCTGCAGCGACCGCGTCGTCGCGGCGCCGTTCGCCTTCGTCGGCTCCGTCGGCGTGATCACCATGATCCCGAACTTCCACCGGGTGCTCGACCGGGAGAAGATCGACTTCCTCCAGTTCACGGCCGGCAGGTACAAGCGCACGGTGACGCCGGTCACGGAGGCGACGGACGAGGCCAAGGCGAAGCTCCAGAGCGAACTGGAGGAGATCCACGGCGCCTTCAAGGACCTCGTCGCGACGAACCGCGCGGACAGCGACATCGAGGATGTGGCGACCGGGGAAGCCTGGATCGCCAGCCTCGCGCCCCCGGGCGTCGTCGACGATTTGATGACGAGCGGCGAGCTCCTGCGGGAGAAGATGGCGACCCAGGACGTCGTGCTCGTCAAGCCCGCGCGCGAGCGGCCGAGGTCGCTCCTCGAGGCGCTCAACGCCGCCGTCCTCGGCGGCCTCGGCCTCGCGGCGCCCGCGTCCCCCCACGAGCGCGTCCACGCCGCCGCCGCGCCCTAATTAAAACAACACCGGCATATCCCGCAGGATAGCGGCTCGAGTACCGCGCGCGCTACCTGATCTCCGGCCCAGGGCGGCAGGAGGAGAACCGGCGGCGCGGCGGGGTATGGTCACAGTTCTCCTTAGTCCGCGGCGGCGGGCGGCGCCACGGCGACCTTGAGGACGTCGAGGGCCTCGTAGCGCACGGCGAGCGTCACGGCGACGGTCGAGCCCGCGGCGACGGGGATGCCCGCGGTGCGGTTGAGGACGACGGCCGCGCAGCGCCAGTGGCTCGACGGCGCGCCGCCGTCGTCCAGGTCCGGCCGCGTCGACAGGAACCGCCCGCCGCCGTAGTCGAGGCGCCACCAGAAGAGGAGCGCGTGCGCGACGCCCGCGGCCGTCGCGACGACCGTCGCCGTCGCCGCGTCCGCGGCGCGGGCCTCGCCGCCGTCGGCGCAGAAGTCGAGGCGCCGGAGCTCGAAGGGCCGCGAGACGTCGGCGAGGTCCGGGAACGCGCGCGGGTCGACGTCGCGCGCGCGCGGCGACGCGAACGCGTCGAGCGCGGACACGTCGAAGCCGAGCGCGTCCGCCGCGTAGTAGCACCGCGCGAGGGCCGGCGACGACACGAGCTTGCCCACGGCGGCCGCGGCGAGCGGCACGACGGCCGCGGCGCGCGCGCGCGGCAGGTCGAAGGCCCCGGGCCGGAGGAGGCCGGAGGCCTCGACGGGGCAGTGCGAGACGACGACGGCGCCGCCGCCGCGCGCGCGCCCCGCGCTCCCGAAGACGCCGACGTGCGCCACGGGCGCGCCGCCGCTACCCGCCGCCGCCTCGGCGACGGCCCGGCCGTGCGCGGCCGCGAACGCGGCGTCGTTGAGCCGCGCGACGTCGTCGCCCGACGGCGGCGCGGGCCCGCGCGGGTCCGGCGGCGGCGCGCAGGGCGCCCAGGGCCCGCCGTCGACGCGGTACTCCAGAACGAGCACGTCGACGAGGTCGTCGCGGGGCGCCGCGGCCGCGCGCAGCTCGACGACGGCGCCGCGCGCGAGCGGCGGCGCGGCCTCGACGTGGAAGAGCGCCTGCGTCCAGGACGTCGCGCGGGGGCAGGCGCCGTCGTCGTACGCCGCGGGGCCCGTCGAGAGCCGCGACGACCCGGACCGGAGCACGAACCACGCGGCGATCGCGTGGAGCGTCCCGGCCTCCATAACGACGCCGCGCGCGGTGCCGAGGGGCGCGGCGCGCCGGGGCCGCGACGCCGTCGCGTAGGTCGCGGCGGCCACGAGGTCCCACTCGGGCAGCGTCCACTCGACGAGCGCCCCGTGCTCCACGGCGTCGAGGTCCGCGACCGTGTAGGGCTCGCGCGCGAAGGCGCCGCCGGGCGCCGCGTAGCTCCGCCGGAGCTCCGCGCTCTCGACGCCGAGCGCCCGCAGCGTCGCGAAGCGCGGCACGACGTCGCAGGTCGGCGCGCCCAGGCGCCGCGTCGCGTCGCCGACCGTCGCCAGGAAGCCCTCGCCGAAGACCGCGGCGTCCAAAACCTCGGCGACGACGACGTCGTAGCGCTCGCCGGCGGCAAAGTCCGCGGACGCCGAGCGGTGGACGCGCACGACGTCGCCCGCGCCGTGGGCCGCGACGGTCTTTTCGGCGACCCGCGCCATGGCCGGGCACCGCTCGACGGCGTCGACGCGCGCCGCGCCCGCGCGCGCCGCGGCGAGCGACAGCAGGCCCGTGCCGGCGCCGACGTCGAGGACGCGCGCGGCGCCCGGCGGCCGCGCCGCGACGGCGTCGGCGACGGCGCCCGCGAAGAAGGCGTTGCGCGCGCCGTCGCCGACCATGCGCCAGTG